ACTACCAACCATGTCCAACTACTACCAACAATGTTAAGACTTGGTGGTACTGCTAGATACAACTACCAAACATGACCAACAACAGAGAACAATGTCGAGACTTGGTGGTACCGATTGAAATGTACAACTTTAGACCTACATTGCATTGCATAGATAATGGTAACCATGGTAATACAATGGCTTACTTTAGAGCGAGAACAGAGTCAGGTAATTTGACAGACATGACGTATCGTCTTTCAGAGTCGACACCATTGAAGATATAAATTCTAAAAAATAAATAGTGTTCAACAGATTAGCATACAAGAAATGGAGATTTTCAAACGCTATTAGGTTATTATGGTGTTTTATTCCCGACAAAATTCAACATCAGGTTTTCAACATTCTAATAAAGAATTCAGTGTTTCACTTGCAATGCAATATTGTTAGTTGCTTTTCCGACACTGAAGATTTCGATTTCAACTTAGCTGTAATCTCGTCCAACATTCGAGTTCCGCGATTCAACATTCGTTAATAGCTTTCCGTGCCTGGACAAAATTCAACATTGCTCTTTTGACATACATCAATTTCAGCATCCAACTTTGAGAACGTTATTTTCCAAACAGTATATTAAAATGTCGGGAATATAACGCTATAGGTTATGCCCTTACTCACATGTAAGCGCAATAGGCGGCCACGTTCGCAAAGGATTCGTTAGAGATATTAAAAAGCTCACGGACTCGCTTGTTTGTGATATGATATGGAAACTCGTGAATAAAAACCATATCAAGCTCTTAACATGTGATAATCTCTATATAGATTCCATTAATACGTTGTTGAATAGGGTACTGACTTGTCTAACATTTTTACCAAAATTTCCTTAAAGGTAGGAACGTCGTATATGATACGTTATTTAATTGCTACCAATAATTGTATTTGGTTATCCACGTGTCTATACCATACATGAAGTACCTTACGGCTAAAGCCTTGCAATCAAGTGTGAATTTCAAGACATCGAACATGGCCAATTTATATTTTCAGGGGCTTGAAAGTGCAGTTGTTCTAAGAACCACTTTGATTCCCTAAAGCACTATTGATCGAGTAAAACACGTTATCTGAAATGGAACCACATTCAGCTAAACTGAATGGTTTTATGATCTAGTACTACAAGACATGACTCAAATGGCTTCCAGCAGAGACCATCTAACCCCCTGAATGATACATGAATATCACTTACTTTCCTGACTGGGTTCCAAGCCAGACAGTCGGGAAAGGAAAACCAAACTTGCCACTGATAGGCCCCGTTACTTTCTTGTCTTCACCACAGGTTCTCTTGACAAACTCACCGCACATGATCTGGGAATCACAGACATGAAACGATTCGACAATCTTGGGGGATGAAGAGGAGGACACACTAATTACGTTAACAAATCCAACACTGTCCCCACCACCGCACAGTAACCACAGGTTATTGTAGTTGTCATGGATACCAGGTAAAGGGTCGGATGCATCTGGACAACTAACTATACCCTGGACCTGTATAAAGAAATGTGAAAAATAAAATAAACTGCATTGCAAAGATTATGTTATGTCGTACAAGTAATAAAGTTGTGGCCCACGGGAACCAAATCAAGCAACTACTGATGTCGTGCGTAAGGCTTAATTATTCGGTACTTACTTAAAACAATCATATTTGTTTCAAAACTTGGCATGGTGAATGCGTGACCTCCGAGAATGCGTAACGCAACACTGCATGTCTTGTATATATATATTTTTTTACACCGGCCATGCATGAGGGAGTTACAGATTTTGGATTTTAAAATAAAATGAAAAATTTTCTTCTATGCGTGCAAGTAGAATGAGCTTGAAGACAGACATCCATTTATTTACGCAGTGTGTCCAAATACTAAAGATTGTTCAGTTTAAGGAAGCTGTGGAGAGTCTATCTTCTAAACCTAGACTGCAAGCACGCCATGATTAGCCCAGTTTCTTAGCAACTAGTCTCACAGTAACACACGCTTTCTAGGTCTTAACAGGGGTATGGAATAATGGCAGTACATGGCTGGCCCACGGATATCTTACCCTGGCCTTAGGATTCAAAAGAAACAAATCAGTATTGTCTTTGAGAAGAGGCATATTGCGACGCAGGACAGGCACTCCTCCTGTCCCATCATCCTCTGGGAGATACCAGCCTGGGTTATTTTCTGGAGCTGAAACATTAATAAACAAGAGTTAAAACAAAACGAGGCAGAAGACAAAGGAACTTAGAAGATTAAAAAAAAAAAAAAAAAAA